TATATATATATATATATATATATATATATTATATAAAAAACCCTACTTTGTTAAAACAAAAATCCTACTTTGATCCCTCTATTCAAAATTCCTGACCAAAGTTTCTTCTCATTTTAAACAATGTAATATATGAAGTTTAGGTTAGGTTTTGCCAAATTGTTTTTAACTAATTTTATTTCATTCTGAAATTTGACAATCACTTAAAAAAAAAAAAAAAGGAAAGGAACTTTCTTATTGAGGGTTGTTTGCTCTGTGTGCAAGCCAAGTCTCATTCAAGCAGACATTATCAAATACCATATAGGGGGAGACCGAAGCTGCTTCTGAAGGACATTAGATCACAGGTTGTTTCAGTGTGAGCAATTTTCTTTTTTACTTTATAGTCTTTAAAGAATGAAGATATGAATTAGTGAAAGTGGGAGGCCATCTCTATTTGTTTACCTTGAGTGGCATTGTTTACAGTTAAATAGAACCAGCCATTCAAATATTATAATTCACCTGACAGAATTATGTGTTCAAATCCCGCATTACCCATTAACTGCTATTGGTCAAGTAACTTCTCTAGGTCTGTTTTTCCCCTTCTGAAATAAGGATCTTGGACTTGGAGAATTGATTTCTAGGATCCTTTCTATTCTGACACTCCAAAATTTCTTCTATGACTTCAGACAAGGTGCTATTAGAATCTCCCCCAGGACTAGTTACCCTAAGAAGGATTACATACTAGATTTAAAATAAATATTTTATAAGCAAATAAATGAAGCCCTAATTAAGGTTTTATACACGAAATATGCTATAGGCCATTAAGCCTAAACTAGACTTTAGGAAAACTTACATAGGCTTACTGTTAAAAGATATTCTGTGAGAATGAACACGGATATATTCCTTTTCTTTTTTTTTTTTCAGTAACTCTATGAAGCTGACCTGAAATAAGGTAATTTAATTCAAAATCCATGATACTTTGTCACTATTTCACTTCAGAAGTAGGAAGAGCAGGGCATTCTAAATAGACAGCTGTTTAGACATGGATGGAAACTATGAACTACTAAAAAGCCCTCCAATTGAGGTATGTTCCGATTTATGGGCTGACTGTGGCCATATCCTTTCACCCTCTATTATGTCAGGAGGAAATAAAGTGAAGGAAATTGCATAAGTCAAGAAAAAACTAGCAGTGCTTGCTCCAAATGCATATCCCAGACTGGGAGAGAGAAGTAGCAAGTGCCCAATCAATAAGAAGTCACGTGCATCCAAAACCCACAGAGACAATAGCATGAGCAAGTCCCCCTTTTATGGACTCACCAGCTGACAACTCAATGCCACTTGGAAACTCACCTGACTTATTCTTTTTGCTATTGTGGTTTCTGCAGTTGAATGGCCAAATATAAAGAGGTGGCTACTAAGGTGTGTCAACTCATAAACATTTAAGCATTAAAGATGTTGATCTTAAACAGTTTAATTTGAAACTGTCATTTCAGATTAAGGCAATTAATTGCAGCTTCATATACCCTAAAAGCAGCTAAACTCAGAAGTTCACTGCAGAAATCGTTATTTTCCAGAATGCCCAATAAGGGCTCTTTAGCTAGAATCGCATTTCTGCTAGAGATCCTTGGATTCCCATTCTTCTTTCCAGTCTGCAGCAGACTTAACTTTCTATATACAAAGGAGGGCATAGGGGATGACTGTAGGTTTGCCTGGGTCACAGTGAAAGTGAGGCAGACGGTATTGGGCTGGAGGTGGGCTTTTGCCCTCAACTTCCCATCATTAGAGGGAAGTTTCAGGAATCTTCTTGTAAAATCTAATTATGTTTTTACCATTTTTTACCATGTTTCTCCCTAACCTGAATGCTTTCTTCAAACCCTGCCTGTCCAAATCACAGTCATTCTTCAAGACTCTTGTATTCTATTCTTCCATGTATCTTCCTTGTCTGCCAGAACTCCCATTCATCTCACCTTCTATTTAATTTAAATGGATATAACTGTGCCACACAACTTAACTCCTCATTCCTCATAGTCTATTGCACATTTTTAAAAATTGTCTTAGTTTGTAATGAACTTGAGAGTTTGTACTATCTTCTAAGGACCCTAACACACACTTCTGTTGAAACACGGCATATTATGGTAGTTAAGAGCACAAAAAACTATGAAATCAGACTTCCTTGATAAAACTCTAGGTTTTAAAACTTATTAGATGTATAACCTTCCCCAAGAAACTTACCTGTTCAGCCCTTTAGTTTCATTGTCTGAAAAATGCAGATAGTAAAATTACCACCTATATTGACAGCATCCCTGTAAAGCACTTAGAATAACACTACGCACAAAATAAGGGGTGTGATAATGTTAGTCCAATTATAATAATAATAACATTATTATTGGCTTATAATCCTCCATAGAGACAGATCTGGGTCACACTACATATGCATAAAGAGTAAAAGTTATTCTCTGAGAGGTAATGAGTTACCCCCAAAACAAAGCATGGGTAGATTAGGCCATTCGGAACATCATCTCCTTGTATTTGTTACAACTATAGCATTTTAAAATCCCTCTTAGGACTGCTCTAAATAAATCCATATACTGGGTGTTGAAACATCCAGTATGATCACGTAAATGGAAGATGAACAAGGATAACTCAGCAGTGACAGTTTTTCACTGATGCACCTAAATCAAGTTTATAAGATTAAAATATTTTCTTCAGAATAAACCAAAGTACCTCACTGCTTATCACCTGTAGCTAACGTTTAGTAAATTCAAAAGTATTCAACTTTGTGTTTTGAAGTCTACACCATTAAATTGCAGCCATACAATATGAGAGAAACCTCTGGTTCTAGTAGCCAGAAGTAACGGGGTTGTGCCTGAATGAAAAAAAAAAAAAAAAAGGCAGTTTTTGTAAAAAATCCTCATATAAGTTGAAATTCAGGAAATTCCTGATCTTTGTCTCCCATACCCCACAAAATTGCAATCCTATAAAAAGTTACAAAAGTTACAACAGACAATGACAGCTGAGAATGAGGGATGAAATTATTGATGGGTTTAAGCCTTATAATTCTGCTCAGGTAAATATTAAGTAACCTCACCAGATCACAAATGAAACTTCCTTCAGATCATATTTAAAATATAGGAACAGAATTATTTCATTGTACAGACTCATTTTTGTTTGTTTTATGTAGTCTCTCTTTAGCTTGTAGCCTTATTTTTTTCCTCCTTTTATCATTCAATGCTTAAACAAGCCACCACTGTATAAATAACACATTAGGCATTTAGATGAGCAAGTAAGAACTTAACTTAACTTTAGATCCAGTATCTCTTTTTGTCTGATTTTTCTTTATAGTTCATACATAATTATCCATGCAAATCTCAGTTGTGAATTACTTACAGACTAGTAAAGAAGAGGAAATTAATTCCTTCATAATGTTCTATAAGCTTCCCCCCTTTCCCCAATCCTACATAAACAACGGTAGAATACTGAATTTAAGGTTGTGCCATTTGACTCTGGAAACATCGGATCTTCACCAAAGGTGTTTTCAGTCTGGATCTGAAATGATGAGATCATGAATTAGGAATGATTCTGGTGACATCGATATTTACCTCTTTGAGACAGCCCATAAAGTTGTTACTGACTGGTGACCCTGGAAGGTCGGCTGTGCTGGGACTGCCTCCAACATAGAAAAAGTCATCAGACCCCAGCATGGTATAATCTTCTTGCGTGTAGCCCGTTGTGGTAAGAATCCCATCCACTGATATTGTTACCTAAATAACAAAGCACAGGGAAAGGACACGCTATACTCAGACCTAGATACTGTAATCCTGGGATATGCCTGTTTTGTGTTTTGTTTTGTTTTATTTTTTTGTTTTGCTTTTTGCTTTTTTTTTTTCTGTTTGGTTTTTATTTTTAGACCTATGGCGGAACCCATTTTCATGTCTGTTTGAAGTTTATTCTTGTATTCTATTCAACTAGCCTAAGAGATCTAAACTACTTAGAGTTAACCGATTAGTGAACTAGTGTCAGCATCATCCCTACTGCAACTCAAAAGTTATTTAGCAGACACAAAAATGGTGTTAGTAAAATGCTTCCTAGGTTAGTTTTGCTGGTGTACACATTAGTAAAGTTTAGTCGTCTGTTATTAACTAACCACAACGTGCACCTAGTTAACATAAAAGGCGCAAGCTATTTCCAGCAACATCACTCTTTGCTCTATTGAGCAGCACTTGTTCAGCATGCAAGTGCCTTAAGTCCATGCCAAAGGGGAAGAAAGGGCAAAACAACCAGTAGAAGCGGCACACGCTGATGTGCACATGCAGGAGGCACAGTACAGTTCAGAAAGAAAAGGAAAGAAAAAGGGGAAGGAAGAAAACAAAAAACAAAAACAAAAAAACTGCTTTATGATGACGTAAACATGAGTGAGTGTGGCATCTCCAACATTCCCAAATCAAGTTTCCATGCCATGCGTCATGAATGGTTAGAGACTGGCTGAGCCTGCGGTCACTCGGGCCAGCCACCATTTTGTCTTATCCCGTGTTAACCACAGCTGGATGCAAAACGTTCGAAACGTTAACGATGCCCCTACAGGTGAGTTGGAAAACAGAAGTTGACAGGAACAGGTAAAAAATAAGAAGGTCAACAACAGATGAAAAGAAGGAGGTCAAAGTAAGCAGAAGAGTACCAACCGCAGTTCCTCTTTTGTTAATGATGTCTACAGTTAAAAGAAAGAAAGAAAACACACGGCAAACCCAAAATAAGAAACAATTAGAATGATATCTACCGAACAATGTAGTTTGTTTACCATAGCGTGTCCAATGCCTGAGTGCTTTGTGGAGAAGGGGGGAGAAAGGAAATTAAAAACTGTGAACAGAATAACGATCGTTACTTAAAAAATATGATGGTCTCTACCATGTTAGTACATTTTTTTGATTCAGGTAACGGTTAGTAGAATGAAACATTCCATGAATGACATGTTAGTTATTAAGCATGTTAGTAACATAGAAAAAGGGCAAAAAAATTTTACAAGAAAAAAGCAGACTAACAAGTAGGCCTCCCACAGAGGTAATATTTTTCCTGTGGTTATTGTTCATAACTTGCTACTAGACAGAAACAGACACATGGCAACATTCCCTTTGTCTTCCTGGGTACATCTGAGAGACCTTCTAAAAGTCTAAAAGGGATTCAAAGGCCTAAAGCTCATCACCTGACCACTGCCGCTCTGTGCCCATAATTGATCCCTCCCCCACCCTGGCCCACCCCATCCCCAGCAAATTAGTAGGAATCGGTTGGCATTGCCCTGCTACTCAATTTTACAGCATACAAGGACTCCTCCTCAACTCCAAAACTTCCTTCGGTCATATTGATGGACTTTAGGGTCACAGTTTACTGCAATGAAACAAAGCAAAGATCCTGACACACAGAATGAGTAGAATGGATTTGTTTTAAATCTGTCCTGCCACACATGCACCCCGGCTGTATAACTACAGTTTCCTTTGAGCTACCAATTCACACTTTGGTTTGTGACCTGAGCAAAGGCAAATCTAGAAAGTGGGATCCTCCAGCCCCACCCTTCCTTCTGTGCTCCTTTCAAATGAGCCTCCGTTCTCTTGGTGAGGATCTGAGAGACAAAATAAAAAAGGAAAACCAAAGAGACAGACTTATAGAAAACCCATGGTCTGCAGCTACACTGGTGGTGGGCAATGACATCCCAAGGCAGTTGTGAAGCATGCAGTGCACCTCCCATGTCAATAAGGCATCAGAAAGGTCTTTGGGGTTCTCAACAATCTTGCAGTTTTACTTGTCTGCCTTAGCTACACTAAATCTCTGCTCCTGAAACTCCGTTTTGCTTCTTTAGCTCAGAGAATTTAAGCCTTTCAGAAGCGGGAAAGAAAAGGTTAGACAGTTAACAGCTCAGAAAGAGAGGGCTGTTTTAGTAAAGGAAAACCAGAGGCAATCAGGTCATTCTGCAACTGTTCAGAGAAACAACAAATATGTTAAGGATATTAGTTTGAGATCAGCATGTACTGCAAAAAAATTAGTCACTGTCAACACCGAACAAAATGATACATTGTAATATAAAATTTGAAGTAATAACCAAAAGTTATAATGTTCAATATATAAAGATAACCTAATCACTTTCATCTCTATATATACTGTAATAATATCTCAGTTAAAAACATACAGTATATGTGAACCCATTGATTTAGTAAATAATGGATATTTTCCTAGTATATAGTCTCTTGCAAGAATTGTTTAAAATTACAATCAAATAGAATGGGGACCTAGAAGATGAACTGGCCTCTCTGGAGTCATCTAGGGCTTAACTTAAAGTGTCTATGCTAAAAATACAAAATATCTTCATAAACAATTTCTTCAGGAGATTTGTAAATCCCCGAAGTCATTTTATTTCCCCTTAGGGACTTTTCTTGTCCCCATTTTGGGACTGGGGATGGGAGGAGTAGGGATTGATACAATCCCAAATCACAAACACACTGTATTTTTTTTTAACTACAAAAAAGGAACTGTGATTTAATGACCCCAATGTGCATGCTTCCAAATGATCACATGAAAAGTATAATTTAAAATCAAACAAACAAAAAACCAAAAACACAACAAAATCACACACATCACAAGAAGGGCAGGTCACAGGGATATCCTTGCAGCCCTCCGGGAATTGTCATATGTCGCTGTATCAGAATAGCCTTTGGGCCCCAGAACTTTCTAGATATGCCCCTGCTCAAGTATGGCAGGAAGATTCACTTCAGCAGAAGAAAAAACTAATTTGTAAGTGACACTGAGGAGCCCTGTATCATGTTGTTAGGGTTTTCAAGAATCACACACACAGCTGTAGCGAGAAACAAAGCCAGTTACTCTCTTATCCACTGCGCTGTTACCTGACGCAGATTCCTGGTGACTTTCACATCATGCCAGGCATTATCATTAAACTTTCCATTCACGGGCTCCACTAGTGCTTCAAAGGCCCCTGATCCCAAATTAATGACCAGAGAGACAGCTCCATTTTTCAGGGCAAGATTGACATAATCTGCTGATTTCCCGGTGTGAAGCATCAGTCCATTCCTCTGAAGGGTTTTAAAGGACAGAGTTATTTCATCACTGCTGCTTTGAATGGGATTTTGAGATAAGTCGTAGCAGAAGTATTCAGATCCCTTGAAAGTGGCAATATATTCTTCTTTTCCTAGAGGAAAGCAGATAGGTGCATGTATAAGTAAAAAAATATATTACACAAGTCAGCAAATCTTAACAGAAACAATAACTAATCAGCCTCAAATTAACTCTTTGCCTAATTAACATTCATGGTAATAATTCTGTTAAAAAGTCAAACCATACTGTAGGTGGCAGTGTAATTTCAATAAACCTCCTCAGGTATTGGGCCATCAATTACAGTAGCTAAATCTGACATTCTTGAAAATTCAATTAATTTTTAAGTATCGCTGCAAGAGCTCTGATCAGAGAAAGTAGCTAGCTCTGTGATATCTCCAGGGCACGAATCAGGTACCATAAATGCATATTGGATGGTTCCACTCTGCTGGCAACAATGGATTCCAACATATTTGCAACATTCTCTCCATCCAACTGAAGCGTTATTTTAATTTTCAGGGAGACATTTATATTCAAAGGTCTTTCTCAATGAAGAGCCAAATATTTTCATCACCGAGAGACCATAACAAATTATCTGGTGAGTGGAAAGGAAAGAAAAAAATACAGATTTTGGTCTGGGAGTAAATAGATCTCCTATAGAGCATGTGTATTTTTTCCCTTAGATGGAGGAAACAGTGATAGAACGTCTAATGGAGTCAGCTGGGTTGCTGATTCATTCCCTGGTCTCGCCAAGCAGATGGTAGGGCTGGCTTTTATGAGACTGGTAAGAATTCCAGCACATCATCATCATAGGGATAGCATGTAAATGAAGTTTCAACACTTTCTACTTATCTCCGTCTCTGCTATAGTTAGTAGTAACAATGCGGATCCCACAAGACGTTAGATCAAATAGAAATGTGGCTATTTGGAAAGAGCAGTGTTCTCCCACTGATGAAGTGATTTTAACCAAAGGAAGTGTGTAAGCCAAAAGCTCCCCTGACTTCCTAGGCAATGATGATGCTGTGCCAAGAAAAATGAGACAGTGTGGTCGGGAATCAGCTTCTGATAAGCTAAAAACATAGAATTATAAGTGCTACCAGAGATCCTTAATCTGTTCCACTGGTAATATAGCATCTCTATTATGCCCACTGGAAGGTTCATATACCAGCAGGCATTTCACTCTTCCCCTGGCAACAAGTTTTTATTCCAGGACTATTTTCATTTGATAGTCAAATAATTCATGTTCTGGAATCCAAGCTCAAATTAAGGTTTGAGTCCATCCGTGCCAGATGACCTGAATTCCTGGAGGCAGAAACTGCCATAAGTGGCTATAGGTAGGCAAGTCATGGCACTGAGTAAGATGGTGATCATCTAGGGACTTTCACCAGGGATTGAGTCCTGAAAGAATAGTCATTCACTACTAGTAAATTATTAGCAAGGATTAGCAGTCAGGCCAAACTGATCACATTTTGAGTAAGTCATAGAATATCAATAATAATGTCATAGAATAAGTCAATCCATCCTAGTGGGTCCCTCCCACTCATACACTCAAAATATTGATTGAGCACCCCCAAATGTTAAACCTAGTCCTAGTCTTTAAAGATAATGGAATAAACAAATCTCACCTAATTCCTGTCTCAGAAAGTTTATAGTCCAGGTGTCTGCTTCACTGGTCAGTTCAATATAACAAGTGCTTCAATATTGGGCACTGGCATGACTAAACATTCCGGTTATAGTTGGAGAAAAAAGGTGGGCCAAATTATGAGTTTAGAGCCTAGCTTAGCCAATTGCTAACTTTCACTGGGGCAATTATGCATCTTTTTAAATCTCTATTTCTGAAAATGGTTAGTGATAACAATCTTTCAGGATAGGTCTGAGAAGAAAATGAGATAATGTTATTGCAGGCATCTGGTACCAGTTAGTGAGTTGGTGAGGAATGGTCGATGTCTTCCTCTTTGCCTACCTAATATGATAAATGTGATATGGTTAGTGATAACAATCTTTCAGGATAGGTCTGAGAAGAAAATGAGATAATGTTATTGCAGGCATCTGGTACCAGTTGGTGAGTTGGTGAGGAATGGTCGATGTCTTCCTCTTTGCCTACCTAATATGATAAATGTGATAAACGATCCAAAGCAAAGAACATATGCCATACGTAATTGTGAAATCTAGAATATTCTCCTTAAGATCAGAAACAGGACAATATTTCTATTCATACTCTATTTGAAATCATAGTTAATGCAGAAAGACAAGAAACATATACAGATATCACAAAGATTATAAGTAAAGCAATAATATCATATTAGCAAATATGATTGTATAAATCGAAAAACCAAAATTATCTACAAAAAATATTTGGCTTAATAAGATATAGTGGAAAGATTGCAGGGTTCCAGGTATTGGGGACAATCAATGTTTCAACTTATATAAATAGATGTATAAATTCAATAAAATTCCAATAAAAATCTTAATGAATTTTTAAAATCAATGTGAAGAGCCGATTCTACAAGTTCTATGGGAAAAACAAATGCTCCAAAATAACCAAGATATGCCAGAGAAAAAAGATGAAGCAACCTGTCTGTGTAAAGATGGACACATACTAGAAAATTATGGTAATTAAGAGAAGGCATTAGGATAGACAAAAGTAAAATAAAGATAGTCAATCAAAATTAAAATACTCCTAAGCATATATGCAAATAATTTATATTATGTCAGGTATTGCAGATAAGCGAGCAAAGAATAGACATGTTTTCACTTATTGGAGGGAGCTAAAGGTGAATGAATCAATTCACACACATACATACACACACACACACACACTCACACACACACACACAAAAACAACAACAACAACAACAACAACAACAA